GTACGTACTAGTATAGTAGTAGTATAAGTAGGAATATACGTATAAGTAGTAGTAGTCAATCCGTCAGTATATAGTAGTAAGTAGTAGCTATAGTCGTAGTAGCAGTAGTAGTAGTCGTAAGTATAGTAGAGTCTACTAGTTGGCAGTAGTATATCGTAGTCCGTAATCGTAGTCGTCAGTCGTAGTTTAGTAGTAGTAGTATTTTTAGTAGCAAGTAGTATGTCGTAGTAGTAGTAGTAGTAGTAGTAGTAGTAGTAGTAGTAGTAGCAGTAGTAGTAGTAGTAGTAATAGTAGTAGTAGTAGTAGTAGTAGTAGTAGTAGTAGTAGTAGTAGTAGACATAGTAGTACTCGTAGCAATAACACTAAGAATGAGAGCAATACGAACCACCATAAGAACAACGAAATACTATGAGTATCAGTAATAATAGCAAGACGAATAATGATAACAGTACGTTCGCCGCTCGTGATCCCTCCTCCTCCTCCTCCTCGTCGTCCTCCTCCTTGTGCTCCTTCTCTATCCGTTCTCGTCGCGCGTCGTGCCTATCAAGCGTCCCCTCCTCCGCCTGTAGAATTTCAACGTTACGTCACGGCGCGTTCCGAGGGGATTTGCCAGGCGGCTTTCATGGAGTGTGGCCACTGCCGACACGCGACTGCAGCGTAGCCGCCGCAGCCGCGCTGCTGCTCTGAGGTCGCACTTCTTCGAGGTCCAGGAGGAGGACCAGGGCCCCCTCGGCATCGAACGGGCCGGGCGGGTGGCAATTGGGAGTGACCTGAATGGGGGTGAAGGAAGAAACGGATCCTAAAGGGGGCCCTTTTTTGCATCTCCGATTTGGGTCACCCCCTTCACCACCCGCCACAGCCAGCCGCCAGGGCACCGGGGGCCTCCGGGGCGCGTGGCTCAGCGCGTCGCTCTGCCAGCTCTGGCCCACCGCGCGTCGGCGCGACACGCCATCCAATTTCTCATGCCTCAGAGGAGGAAGAGGTGCCGATACCGCTATCCTTCCCTCGTTTCCACCTGTTCTGGCCTCCCGGAAGGCCCTGTGGTCGCCACGGCTGGAATCGCTTCGACATTCGGATCCAAACGCGCCAAGGGTGGAGGTCTGGGGAGTAGGGGTAGCGGTACCTTCGAGTTTCCCCGAGTCCCAGCCTCCCGCCCTGCGGAAAGCGGAGCGGCAAGCTACGCGCTCGCAAGGCACAGCGAGTCGCCGGGGCCGCCGCCGCGACACGCTGGGTAGAAGTTCCGGACCGCAGCATGGCCGAGGCCATGGTATGTTCCAGGTCAGGGCTGGACCTAAACGCTGTTTTGCTGGACTTCGGCTGTGTTTGGTTTTTCGGTGTGGCAGGGAGGTACAGGAAAATAGGCAGAGTAAACCGAAGCACAAGATGAAAACAAAACGAAACACAGCGTTTAGGTCCAGCCCTGGCATGTTCCAGGTTTCATGGCCTCCTCTTCTCACTGCAATGCATCCCTTGGCCCCCTCGGGGCCTTGTGCCTTGTGCGTGCCCCAGCCCATGATTGACGAACACCCCTTTTGGGCGACCCGGAGGGATGGAGGACTTTGACTTCTGTCCAGCAGGGCTGAACCTAAACGGTGTTTTTCGCTTTCGTTCTGTATTCGTTTTCCCTCGTTTGGTCTTGAATCCGCCTTTACCGCAAAACAGAATCGAAACGAAAACGGCCCACGAAATCGCCAAAACACCGTTTGGGTCCAGCCCTGTCGGGCAGCACATCACTGGGGTCGGCGCGTGACGGGAGTCAGCCAATCTCTTCCGGGATCTCCGCAGGCGAGGCCCGGGGTTGGGAGCCATGTGGGGCCTTCCAGAAATTGCCCCGCCTGTGAGGATCGAAGGTTTCGCCTTCTCTTTCTCGGCGGAAGGCGGCGGTAGCAAAACGAGGCCACCTCCCCTGGCGGAGGGCCCGCGGAAGCCCGTTGTGCAAGGAGGAGGAGGAGGAGAAGAAGAAGAAGAAGAAGACGAAGAAGAAAACGAAGAAGAAGGAGGAGAGGGGGGAGGAGGAGGAGGAGGAGGAGGAGGAGGAGGAGAAAGAGGAAGGGGGACTGCGGGGAGGAGGTGGAGGAGGAGGAGGGGGGGTGAGGAGAAGGAGAAGGACGATGAAGAGGAGGAGGAGGAGGACGACGAAGAGGAGGGGGAGAACCAAGCTTCGAAACCAGATTCGATGTTTATTGTCCCGTTTCGCCTCTGGTCCTTCTGGGGGGGAGTCCGGAGGGCTTATGGCTGCTGCGAGGCGGTGGGTCTGTCGCTGCGGCTGGGGGTTCCCTGCGCCAGGCCAGGGGATCGGGGGGAGAGGGACGAGGAGGAAGGGCCAGTCAGGCACAGGCTGAGGACAAACCGCTCCCGAGCGTCCGGGATGACCCTCGGGACGCGTCGCACGGCGCTCCAGAACGGCCACGGCGCCCGGCGTCCTCCGGTCCCGCTGGCCCGCCAGAGATGTCCGATCCATCTCCATCCGAATGCATCCTTCGGGGGCGGCCAAGGGGGGGGGGGGGGGGACGACCAGGGAAGGGGTGTATATCATGGCGGGGGCCATGATATCTCCCAGATTTCATGGCGCCTCGCCTTATTTCGCTGCGTCCCAGGCCTCCCCCCCTGCCTGGGCCGCGCAGATGCCGCCGGCCATGGCTTGCCTCCCCTTCCCTCTTGGACGCCCCCCTCTTGGCCGCCCCCGAAGCCTCATGGTGCCGTCGGTGGAAGGAGGAGCAGGGAGGAGGACTGACGGGCGGACGACGAGGACAAGGACGACGAGGACGAGGACGACAAGGACGACGACAATGAGGACAAAGACGACGACGACGACGAGGACGACGACGACAAGGACGACGACGACGACGAGGACGGCGGCGACCACAACGACTTGGTGCGCGGTGTCCCTGGGAGCGGAGCGGTGGCGCCGTGGCGCCGAGCGCTCGGGCAAAGCAGCGTGAGCGAGAGAGGACGTGGGATCTGACAAAGGCATCTATACACCACTACCTTGGCACGGTAGTGGTGTATAGATGCTTTTTGCGTGTGGAGGACGCAACAAGGGAAGCAAGCAGTGACGGACGGAAAAGACAAGGAACGAGAGTCTAAACAAGAGTCGGGCACGTCCCTCTGCAGGAGGAGTATTCAAAATAGTTCAAAAATAGTCTGGGGACGATATGCTGACCATCCTTGAATATGTTTGAACACTGTTTGTCTGTTTTTGATTTTCCGTCCAGACTCCGCCTGTAGGAGGACATGTCCGAGCTAAGTCTTAACCGCATCCACAACATGAAAGGAACGCTACTTCAAACAAACTAGTGCCAAGGCTCAGGGAACTACTCACTCATCCTGTGCCTGTGTGCGGTATTAGGCGCAGTTCGCAAATGCAGGAAGTCATTGTTGCGCATCCAACGTGTCGCAGCGTAGAGTTCAGAGGCCAAATTTGCGAAATGCGCGCGCATGTCTCCGTCCTCGCCGATTTCTTCAAACAATACCAGTCCGGTTGGACTCGTAATTTCCACGGAAAGGCCACTACAGCTACTCTCACCTTGACTCCCGGTGCGAAAGAAGTAATTTCCAGGTTCGATCTCGCTGGTCTGCAGATCTTCTCCGAGTCCTCCAAGCAATGTTCCGGTCTCGGGCATGTTGCATGTGTCCAGGTGGCGATCATCACGAATCTGCTCTTGGCAAGGGGTTGTTTACTACAACTTTTTGTGGACGACTCCATGTCTTGTTCCGAGCCCCAGGCAAGCCGGGAGGACGAAGATGAACGTTCCAGTTCGGGGAGGTTGTCGATGGGCATCCCGAGAAGAATCATCTCAAGATCCCACAGTCGGTGGGCTACGTCAGAATAAATAGTGCTCCATTTCATCCTCTAAGCGAGTCCTGTTTGCTTCAAAAGTTGCTCAGCCCGGCTGGTCAAACGTCCGTTCGGATCGTCATGGCCTCGGTGGTCCCCGGCGGGGCCCTTTCCTGGAGCGGCAGCTGCAGCAGCAGAGTGATGGACGTAAGCCTCCTTGGCGGGTTAATTACGCCTTCTGCTGCTGGTCTACCATGGCGGGCTTGCATAACGCGTGTTCGTTTATGGCAGGCGCGAGCCGCAGCCGCCAGCCGCAGCTGCGAGCCGCCAGCCGACCGAAGTCAGCCGACAGCAGCAGCCGGAAGCCGGCAGCCGACAGCCTGCAGCCGGTCAGTGCTGTCTTTGGCCAGACATTCCTGGAGCCAGGGTTCGACCCTTGGGGCAGGGATGGGTTGGTGTAGGAGAAGGAGGGGGCGGATGAGGGAGATGGGGGGATAAGCTGGAGAGGAGGGCAGAAGAAGGGGAGGAGGCGGGGGCGAGGAGGGTGTCGTGGAGGGAAGAGGGCATGCAGCATGGGGAAAGGGAGGAGAGGTAGCAGGGATGCAAGGCCCATTTCGATATTGCCCTTGATTCCAGCCTCCGTCTCGATGCAGACCGATCCGACGCTCGTTCCGATCCGATCTCATTTCCCCATTTGTTGTTGACTTATCTTTGGATGTAATTGTCAGGAGGGGAAAAAACACACAGACACAATTAATCGTCGATTCCCCAGGAAATATGGGAAAAAGATGGGAAGTGGGGGGGAAGACAGAAACCCAGAGAATATGGGAAAATATTGGGAATATTTCTATTTGTGTGTATTATGTTGTGTGTCCTAAGGCCCCTTCAAATTGGGAGAGAGGGGGGTGAGTGGCCTCCGCTGCTGGACAGGAATCAAGCGGTTCCTTCGCTGGGCAGGAATCAAGTCACCAGCAGCCGCAAGAGCCGCGCGATGCATCCCTAGCCGCCAGCCCGTCGTTCGCAACCCGCCGTGGCCCCGGAGGACTTTGTCGATTCCTTTCACGCCGCCAACGCTGAGTCCATGATGCAGATACAATACTCCTGCGTCTACTTCAAGGCCATGCGAAAAGGGCAACCTTCACCCTGATCCCTCATCCATTCCTCCCTCTTCCTCCTCCCTCCTCTTCCCTCCCCCATACCTCCTCATCCCTCCTCCCTTGTCGTCGTCGTCGTCCTCCTCCGTAGCCATTTTGGCCCAAGACTTCTGCAACTGAGGGCTCCGCGTCCTCGTGCCGAACTGGAAGCTGCTGGTCCGCAGCAGTGCCAAGACCTTGCGCCTGACAGCTCTGCCAGCACCGCACGGGCCTTCTGGCAGCCCATCCTTCGTCTGGCCCTCTCGGAGCTTGTTGCTACGACGCCTCGATGGTTCCAGCCCCGTGGCACCACGCTCTCACCGACGACGCGGGGAACACTTGGACAAGGCAGCCGTGGGTCCGGGTTCCGCATGGGGGCGCCAAAGCTGGGCAGGTTCGTGGCGTTCGCTTGTGAACTGTGTGTTTTGTTGGGTCAGTGGGCGTGGAACGACCTCGTCGCCAAACGGCACAACGTTTGCGTCGGGTGCAAGTCCCAGTGTTCGGTTGCGAACGATGACTGTTACTGCGACGGGGGTGGCAAACCGAAAGGAGGACGAGGTGGGCGCAAGGCCCAGCAACTCCAGCAGCTGCAACTGCCGCCCCCCCCCCCCCAGCGACGCCTTTCCTCCAAGAGCTCTCGAGGCGGTCAAGGAGGCAGTTTCGCATCTTGCTCCCGACCTGGCCCAGAAGCTCCTGTCGCAGTGTGTGCCCAAACCGTCGCCCCAGTCCCAGGTCACTCCCCAGTATGGGTGGCAGAGGGCGACCCAGGCCAAGAAGGCTCCCCAGGAGAAATTGGACAAGGCCCTGGCACGCCGCGCTGCCCTGGACAAGGAAGCCAGTGATCTCGACGAGCGTCTTAATGATTTCCTGCCAAAAGACCATGAGGATGCTTCACTACTTGAACAGGCCATTCGTGCAATGGCCGTCGGGGTCCTCAAGCCTGAAGACACAGCGCCCCCGAACATGAACGCCATCTCGCTCGACGCACTCTTTCAGGACTTGGTCTAGGAGGTCACGCTTGATTTCGGTGAGGACATGTTTGTCTCTGGGCCAGCTTTCACGCCAGAGGACCGCGAGGTTTTCGAGAGGTTCCAGCTTGAACAATCGAAGCGGTCAAAACCCTCCTGCATGGCGCGCTCACCTCGACCAGGGCCCAGTTTCAGACGCGTCAGACTGGATGCCAGAAGAGGATGGGTGAGTTGCTCAAGAAACGCAAAACAGACGGCGGCTCGGTTGCGACTGGCGCGGCGCCCCCTGGCGGCGCAGGCAGCCAGGGCGCGGCGGCCCCTCAGTCGGCCGAGGCGCCGCAGGCTGCGCCCCCGGCCAGGCAGCGGCCCCAGTCGAGGAGACCGACAAGGAGAAGCGGATCGAGAAGGCCCGCGCCGACATTGCCCGCTCCGTGGCTGCCTCGCGCAAGGCCAAGGAAGAGGTTGGAAAAGCGCTTGGCGGGTAACTTCCTGGGCGAGGGATATCGGGAGTCCGACGATTATTATACCTGCAGTTCGTCGGAGCGTGGCTCTTCGAGCTCGGCCTCTCCAGCTTCTCCTTGATCTTCGTGTCCGCCCACTTCGTCGACAGCCAATGCATTGCTATCCTGCGGAGCTCGCCCTGCTTCGGCCCCCGGGTCCACCTCGTCTTCGGCTTCAGACGATGGGCGCTCGCTCGCCGCGCCTGCGACGGCAATGGCCCCGTGGGCGAAACCGGCCGCGGGTTGGCCTGGCCAAGACCTCGGCGCGGGACCCCGCGGCGCGCGCCATGCTGGAGGCTCGGCAGACGACGCCCCATGTACGGCCAGTTCGGCTAGCTCTGCTGTGGCTCCGACATCTACTTCATCGGTTCCAAGCTCTACGGCTGCGTGGGCAGGCTCTGTGTCTCGCAGGCTCCAGCTGGCGCGCGACGAGGGAGGCGCCGCTGGAGAGGGCGGGCCTTTTCTCCAAAGGGTGCGCGGCCCATCTGTTGGACCCCCCCGACTTCCTCACTTGCAAGGATGAGGGCCCTGAGCGATGGGCCGCGATCTTCTGCCGTCTCAGTCTTGGGCGTCGGCCTCGGTCTCACACCCCTTTTTGGCCCCAGGCCCGAGTCTGCTGGGCGCGCCTGGCCATCGAACGCATTGGATGCTTACGTTTCAGACTTGCTGCCTCGCGCCGCGTTTCTGCCCCTCGTCGCGGAGCAGTCGGCTAGTTCTGGCGTCGAGAATTTGGCCATTTTGACACTTGACATGAGCTAGGCTATTTGTCTTTCAGCCTGGATGTCGAGACGGGGCGAGAGGGCGCGGCGCCGCCGCAACGCGTCGCGCCCCCCCCCCAAAAAAAAACGATCCCGGCGAATGGCAGGAGCAGTCGTTTCGCCACGCTCTCTCCACGACTGCGTCTGCAGGTCCGATTGACGCAGCCCCTGCGCGACGTGCTCCAGATGTTGACGGCGCCGCTCCCGTCTGCGCTGCCGGAAATCCTGGCTCGCCAGGGTCGTTCGTCGCAGGGCAGCCGACCCCCTCCCAGAAGCCCGCGGGCTTGGATAAGTCGCCTCGTGAGAAGCCGAGCGCGGGGGGGCGGCCAGCCCGTTCTGCTAGGCGCGCACGTTGGCGATGGCCAGGGCCTCGATTGTGATTCTGGCATGGGGTCGAGCCCCCAGCGTTCTCTTTCGGCTGTCTAGTCTGACATCAGCGCATGGGGCCCCGCTGCCCGCCGCTGGGTTTCAGGGTGCACGGCAGGCGTCATCATTATCGTGGATCACAGAGGCTCCAAGTACCAGGCCATGGGCTAAGAGTTGCACGAGCTTGGCTGGAAGGTCGTGGCCCAGGCTGCGGGGGCGACGGTTGCTGATGATGCTTCTTCTGGTGTCTTGGTGGCGACTCGCTTTCATATTGGGCTTCCTCCCCAATTTACTTGTGAGGCTGGTGAATGAACTTGCGCCGGCGCCGCGCGTTGGCTCATGTGCACTCTTCGCCTGCGCGAGATGTCGCTGACCATCGCGCCCGTCAACCTGATCGCGGGATGTGAGCTCACTGGCCAGAGCCTTCAGCTGCTGGCGGACCTCGGAGGCCGCCTGAGCACGGCAGGGGCCCCAGTCTTTGCGGTAGGCGCTTGGCAGGTTGATCAGGGTGTTTGGGGGCGGTCAGGTTGGCTGGATCCTCTCCGCCTCGCCCCTGTTCCCATGCCGGTGGTTTCGGTCACCTCCCCGGGCGTCTCTATCAGTCGGGTCGAGTGCGCGGTAGTTTCTTTTTTTTTTCAACGCCGTCGAGTTTAGGTCGCTGGCGGCGGTGCCCCGGGGCGCCCATGCTGCTTTGGAATTTCAGGTCTCTGCGTTTCCCAGGGCCATTCAGGTTAGAAGGCAATGCGACCGAAGTCTCCCCCAGTCAAAGGCGTGGTTGCCCCTGTCGAAGCCTGGGCGCACTTGTTGCCGCAGGCTCGCGTGCTGCAGCGTAAGCGGCCAGGCATCTTCTAGGCCAACTATGCCGCCGCCAGTCTCTTGAAGCCCGAGCGTGACACCATCCAGGTACTTCGTAGAGCTCTTCGGCATCGATGAGCTAGAGGAATTCCGGCGCGGGGTGGAGCTAGTTCGCCCACCCGGCCCGGGCGGGCAATGTGACAACCTGGGGTCGGTTTTGATTGTGGGAGATTTGACAATTCGTTTTGAACAAAACCCAGAGTTTTATTCTCTGTAGTCGATCATGGCGCGCTTCATGGTGAAATCCTCAGGGCTGTCGCTGCAGCACAGGTCTCAATGATTAGGGGGACCGTCGCCCGTCGGGATGCATTTTTCCAGATGGCAATGGTGTTGTAGATTTAACTCATGCTCAAAGCGAGCTACACAGCTCCAGCATTCTTGGCACCTGTAGTAAGTTATGACGCGTCAGCCTGTCGAATTCTCAGGCCCGTAGCTGCAGTATTTCCATGGGAACACTCGGCAGAAACAGTTTCGTATAACACAGAGAAAATAAAGCTGATATTTATGGAAGCTTTCGCGTAGTATTCTGAGCACGACTTTGCGCGTCACGAGATCTACGAGTAGTAAAGGTGTTCTGGTCGACTTGGGAATGCAGATCTCTTGGTTCAGACATGAAAACGGATACGTTTGAGGTCTTGGGGGGGGGGGGGGGGGGGGGGGGGGGGGGGGGGGGTGGGGGGGGGGGGGGGGGGGGGGGGAGGGGGGGGGGGGGGGGGGGGGGGGGGGGGGGGGGGAGGGGGGGGGGGGGGGGGGAGGGGGGGAGGTTGGTGGGTGAGGGAGGGGTGGGGGGGGGGGGGGGGGGGGGGGAGGGGAGGGGGGGGGGGGGGGGGGTGGGGAGGTCTTGCGCATCATGTATTTCATTTTGCCTTCCAGGGGGGGGGTCTGGCTGCCGCAACATGCTATTTTGGCATTTGAGCTCGCAGGGGGGGTCTGTCGCGTCGCCGCGCCTAAGCCCGCGTCGCCGAAGACGACGACCGGCGACGACGACGACGAACAGCCCGGCGGCCGGTGGCCGGCGGCGCCCGGCGGCCGCGCCATCTGCGGCGACACGACGACGACGACCGACGACCCGCTGGCCCGCGGGGGTGCCAGGGCCCAGGCCGCCCCGAGAAGCTCGACGCCGCCGGCCGTCGTCGTCGTCGTCGTCGTCGTCTTGTCGTCGTCGTCGCCGCCGTCGTCGTTGTCGTCGCCGTCGTCCTCTTCAACTTTCGTTCCCCGTTTCATCCTCTTCTCCTCCGTCTCCCTCTGATTCCTTCTCCTTACCTTCTTCCGGTTTCCTCATCATTTTCCTGCTCCTCCGTATCCCCGTCCTTCCTCCTCCCGCCTCCTCCCCCTCCCTCCTCCTCCTCCTCCTCCTCCTCCTCCTCCTCCTCCTCCTCCGCGGGCCGCGCCCTTTCGGCTCGCGCGGCCCGCGGTCGCCGCGCCGGCCCGCGCCGCCGCCCGCCAGCCGCAGGCCTGGCGTCGGCGGAGTGGGGGGAGAGGGAGGAGAGAGCAGCGAGGTACGAAAGTGGGACGTGGGACGGGGAAGGGAAGAGGG